AGGTACCCCCCCCCCCTCTCCCCCTCATCTGTGTGTGTGTGTTAGGCCTGTAACAGCTGTTATTTGTGGGATAAAATTGACATATAGCTACTTTTCTGCCCTGTAATTGAAAAATACCACTCTCATGGAGTTTTAAATTCCACGGATGAACATAAATTCCATGACACTGGATATTTTTCAATTACAAGGCTGTAAAGTGGCTGGCCCGCACTGTTACTTATTTGATTCTGTATCATTGATACATCTGTTTGAGTGGCCTGCCTTCTTGTGTCCCTTATTACTCATGGGAAAACTTACCTACTGTCTGTGTCTACACCAGACCGATTAACACAGGACATGTATCTTTCATATGCACCTTTATCACTGACCATAGTTGATCAATGTTTAATATCACCTCAATTTATTTCTTAACGATGGTAAACTAAAAACACGGGGTGTAAATAAGATTTTTACATTACTCATCAGTACAGTTAGTGGATTCTTTTATCTTCCTAAGGGATAAAAGGTTGCCTGTTTTGATAGGTTTCTAGCTGGGATAGCCACATAGGCGTCCCGTCCTGCTTGAAATGGGCGCCAAGAAGAGTAATGTTTGTTGCTGCATCATCAGTTCTTACCTTTTGGATCCCTAATCATGGAGGTGCTGGTGATGCCGCTGGAGCCCAGACAGAACAAGTTACTCTTCAATGACGTTTTCTAGTGTTAAAATCTTTTGTTGTATACTTTTCATATATCGTTACATGTGTATTTGTATACCCTTGAGCTGCTTAAATCGAAACTTGGTCAGCTGATCCCCTCTTGGGAGTTTGTTATCATTCTTGGTTCTTCTTAGCGCTTTCTATATCCCAAGGTTTGATATTAGGGTCTTTGAGTGACCATCTCGATATTTTATTGGTCCTTTTAACCTTTTCCTTCTCAAACTATACTATATGTGTAAGGATCTTAAAATGGAGGTAGCATGTGTCTTTTTTGTTTTCTTTTTGGAAAACAATGGAGTTTGGGGCTGCGTGGTTATTTTACATGAACTCCTGTTCTAAAAAAGGCACTTTCTATAGCAACATATTTTATAGTATAAATTTCATGTCGGGTTTAAGAATGCAACAAGCTCTGAAATTGTTATGATATGTTTAGAACGAGAAAGTGCAAAAGTAGCCGTTTTTAGGTTCCTATTTTAAAATAACCGAAATTCACAAAGTTTTTAAAAGGCCAAATACATTGGCAGTCCCTCCTTACTTTTCACCTGCGCACTCTATCTTAAGTCCACTCCATTTGAACACTTTAACCATATAAATTAAAATTCTCCAGTGATGAACAAGACAATTCCACATGGATTTCACTTAAATAAATTAAAATAAAATAAAAAAGAACTAGCCCCCCACCCCTTTGCATCTTCTCCGATGATCCCCTCCTTCTGTCATCTTCCCGACGACCCCCCACACTTTGTCTTCGCAAAACTCTCCACCTCCTTCGTTTTCTTCCCCAGATCTGATGTGAGAAACCAAAAAATATTTTTAGATCTGAGACTTGAGGACTGAGGTCTGTCAAAGCTTTGCCGGAGTTGCATTACATACTACAAAATTAAACTGAAATACCAAAAACAGAAAAAAGAATTAGGACAGTGGAAAAGAGAGCAGAGAAAGTTCCTCATTTCAACAATCCCAGCACACTAGCGCGCGCGAGCAGAGAGAGAGAGAGCGCTAGTAGTATCAGTAACATTCTAGCCTATATTCCAAAATTTTCAGATCCAAGAGGAACTTTTTCGGCCAAAACACACTTTCGGATTGTTGTAACCTCAGTGAGTTGCAAATCTTGAAAATTTCTTCTAAAGGCCAAAAACGTTTGTAACCATAAGTAACCTTTATAAGTTGCAGATTTCTTTTTCCATTATTCATTTTTTCTCCTCTCAGCTCGCCGAAAAATTCTCTGCCACATTCGTCGGATTACAATAGGTCAGGAGGAATAAGACAAGGGGGTGAATGGAGAAGGTGACTATATCGATGGAGATAGAATGTTGAAAAATTAAAAGAAATATTTCGGCAAAAACTATTCATTTTCCGGAAAGAAAGATGAGGAGTTTATTTTTTGGACCATTTCACGCGCCTGGAAAATGTAAGGAACACTTGACTTGCTATGTCCGTTTTTTGTGTTTAAATGTCACATATGAGATATGGTTGAAATGTTCAAATGAAACGGACTTAAGATAGAGTGTGTAAGTAAAAAGTGAGGACAACTTTAAGGGGTTGCCGATGCATTTGGCCTTCTTAAAATTTAATGTGTGAGAATTAATTCAGACATGACTTCTTGCAGATCTCAAATTATCGGGTATGTAGTTTGAGTAGAAATGGCGTGGGGTAGCCACTTTTTAATGTGGTATTTAGTTTTTATCCAGCATTTTTAATGTTGAGCAAAAATAGCCACTACTCTATTAAAATTAATACAAAAAGATGATTTTACCCTTTCTTCATGAGGGCTGTGTAAATATTAAGAAAATTTTGTCCTTAATATTTACGCAACACTCATGAAGTTAAGGACATGATGTCCTAAAGTTTAACAATAGAAGGTGCAAATACATGACACTTTATCCTTAATATTTACACAACACTCATGAAGTTAAGGACAACATGTCCTTAATATTTACACAACGCAAGTTAAGGACACTATGTCCTTAACATTTACACTGCACTCATAAAGTTAAGGACACCATGTCCTTAATATTTACACAACACATATGAAGCTAAGGACAAGATGTCCTAAAGTTTAAAATAGAAGGTGCTAATAAAGGACACTTTGTCCTTAATATTTACACATCACTCATGCAGTTAAGGACATCATGTCTAGTTCAGGTGTATTTTTGTCCGGACGGGTAAAAGTTATTTATTTTTTGATATTTGGTTATTTGGAAGAAAATATTTCTTAAAAATAAATAATTTAGGCAACACTATAGGAGACGAATTTGGTGCAGGGGGAAGAGCGAAGCAGTGGAAGTCCCGGGAAGGAGTGGTTGGTGGGATGGGGGCGGGGGTTTTGATGAGGGGAATATTGCGGGGACAAGGTGTTGAAGGGTGGGGGAAGGGTGTCATGGCAGGGGTAGGTCAGGGGTGATTGGAATGCAGGGTGATAGGCCGGCCCCCCATGCCGAGATGGCAAGGGTGTGAATAAAGAGGTTGGTTGGAAGGAAGTGGTTTGCCGGGGTGAGGAGAGATGGGGGTTAGAGGGTGTCAGGGGTGTTAGGGTGAGGTCGGGGTGCAGGGTGGCAGGTTAGTATGAGAGTCGGGATGATGATGGTGTGAATTAGAGGGTAAAGGAAAGGTTCAAAGAGTGTTTTAGGAATTGTTCTCTTCCCTTTGTAGAGAAGTCATTTTCATCTAATTAAGTCATAGTAGAAATATTTTAAACCAATCAAACATGAAAAAATTAAAAAATATTTTTCATATATATTTACTTCATTTCCAAACACACCCTTTACAATTGAAGATTAATTTGAACTACACTCAAACTACGGGGGAAGTGCACAGTTAACCACTAATTAGAATTGTATTTACTCTTAAGCCAATGTTTAAAATATATTTTACTTTTTAATCAGTGCTTTAATAAACTTTTCTTCATACCAAACATACCCTAAGTTTCAATCCTTTAAATATGAAGGTTTAAGTTTCAAACTTTTAGATATAAAGCTGATTATCACTTGATTAAAGCTTCATATGTTCAGATATAGAAAAAGAAACAAGTAACGATATGAGTAGTAAAATTTGAGAATAACTGATTAAATTCCAAATAAGTTTTTAAAAATATTCCTTAAATATGTATACCATAGAGTAGTATGAACCAAGTAAATCTATAATGCAATTTCTTTAAGGTCATGAAATGATACTTTTTTGTAGTCTAAATTCAAATTAGTTACCATTAAATTACTTTCTAATGGGTTTTCCCTAAAGAGCTATCAGTTTTGAATAGTTTTTGTAGAGAAGCAGTATGACTAACTATACAGTGACAAATTTAAGGGAGGTTGCATTACTTGGCTATTTAGGCGGTAGATGATGATGCTGCAGTTGCTTTTGAAAGGTATTGAAATAAGTTAAAACTTCTAGTGCCAATAAGTTACCTCCATTGAGCTACAGTAACTTGCAGGAGATTTAAGCGATTGAGCGTTGCCATTCTTCGCAAGTAAATGGCGATGATGTTGTCTAAGTGATGCTATAATTTCCCGTCCTATACTACTGGTGCTTGTTGGCTGCCACCAAATAAAATAACGATCAATATTCGGGTTATAGCCTCTGGAAGTATGTCAAGGTAAAAAGCCATTAGTAGAAATGAAACAAATAGACATCCTCTTGACTCTTCAACCAAGTTGACATAGAGGTAATTTCATTGTAATGATTTTCACTTGTGTAAAAATTTTTCTCATGTAAAGCATTTTCAAGATTAGCACAACAACCTACACAATTGAGTTGGAGAAACAATACTCTTTATAAAGCAATTTTATGTGGAAACAAGCAATTATACTAAAGGCATTCTAACATATATGTTCTGTTTGTGAACTGCCTTAGGAATCCACCTTTACCAGGTAATTCAATTTTCCCATTCATTGTCAGAATAACGTGTATTCTAGAGCTTTATTGTTTAAAACTTATCAAGTGCATAAGCTATATATACCGTGCATTACCACTAAGCCTCATATGAAGATATAATAATGGATAAAAATTCAGTACTGAAATAAGAATTTCTTAAGGAACCGGATAACAGTGTAAACTTTTGATGTTCTACCAACAAGAAACTTAGAAAGAAAAAATTAGTAATCAAAAGCATAAAAGATCCAATAGTGGTCAAGATGGCATTGTGAAGTACTTAAAAGAGGGCTGAAATATAGAAAATACCAGCAGTGGTGCGAATGACAAAAAAGAAAGTTCAGAAAGTAAAAAGGATTGTATTGACAGTACAAAGATAGGTGAATATAGTACCGACCTATAAGAAATCCGAATATTTATTGGTAGCATACTAATCATCACTCAAGAAAATCTGAATATATCACAATATCCAAACACTGGAGAACATAGGTAAAATAGTATTCATTTAAATACAGAGTAATGGTAAACACAACTTCGATCCTTTTTAATGGGAAAATACAGAGGTAGAGTTTTATTTCAATCGATGTCTAAAACAATTACAAATGCTAACTCTAGTTCTTTACTTCTCCATGATCGAATGGTAGTATCCAGTTTAGTTGGTGTGTAAAATAAATGCGAATGCTTAATTCGATAGTAATGCCTAGAAATTTTAATTTCAAATTAAAAACGTAGCAGCAAATATTGATTCGTTCTAACATATAAAAAAAACCATTAAGTGCCAAATTTACCTTGCTGTAACGTATTAAAATTAATTGGTCAGATGAATTTCAAGGATTAGCTTTCTGCACTAAGCCACTCGACTAATTGAACGATTCACATCTGCAGGCCGGGAAAGAATAAAACTTAATGGGGAAAACGTTAATCACATGCACGCAAATAATATACATATCGAAGAGAAAAGTATAGAGTAAGTCGTGGCAAATCAAAATGAAAGTGAAATAGCTTACATTAAAGAAACTCTAAAAATCATTAAGGAGCAAGGAAGTACTTCACACGATTTTGGTCTTTTAAGTTATCCTCATTGTCTTCAGCCTTAGCCATTAGTTTCAACCCTTCTTTTTCAGACAAACTCTCAGGAACTTGCAGTACATCCCTTCGCCATTGTACACCAGGGAAACTAAAGAAATTACAGAAAATTACAAAAAGGGATAGTAAAAAGAACAGTCAGAGAATCAAAATCAAAATAAAATCCAAGCAACCTGATTGGAAGCAGTTCGAGAGCGATTGATATATAAGAAGAAAATCATTGTTGTACGGCCTATTTGGTAAACCTGTGTATAGAAATTTAACTCAGGACATGCGGAAGAAACCAAAAGGACTAAATAAAAAAAAAATCAAATCATTGTCCAATTGAAAATTAGGGACTAAAAAAGTACATGGCAACCATTACTCGATTAGATACTATTAAACTTCCTTTTTTCCCCCAACAAAAATCCTTTCTTCCATATAAGAATCAGAGATAAATTACAATAATTTGTACAGTAAGGAACAAAATCTGAAAATCAAAATCAAGAAGGATCAAAGTTCTAGATTTCGAAGTGATAAAAGATTTATATTGGTACCGGTAATACTTTTCTCTTTCTTCTTTGTTTAGGAGCGGGATTTTGAAGTGTTTGAATTAGTCATCTGCTGATTTATCCTTTTTTACACGAAATCCCTTACTCAAAATGCAACCAAAGAATGAAATCAGAGAGTACAATAGGCAGGATGGTGCATAAGAAATCTAATAAAATAGGATTCATTGAATAGTTTTGTCAAACACCTAGAGAACAAAATCTACAAATACCTAATATATTCTCAACGACCGAAATAAATCATCAATACAAGAAGTGTAAGATGAGAAAAAGAATACACAACAAAAAATAATAATAGACAGAGCAGAGGAGTGAGAAGAATACCCACCAGAAAATAACAATGGACAGAGCGACGGAGTGAAAGAGCAGAGGTATGAAGAGAAGAGGTGTTTGCAGGAGTGTTGGATTTGGTAAGAGAAATCAGACGGTGACTCCTCGTGTTGGGCTGAAAATTAAACTTTTTTATCCTTGGATGGCGAGACATGTTGATCATGAGCTGCCTGCTTATCCTCACTCATAGTATAGGAAATAAAACTAGATAAGAGTGCACGTGCTATGCACGAGGCACATATGCATTCTCGACGTTAATGTTTGTGTTATTTGCAGGCGCATCACATATATTTTAAGGTATTTCAACATTGTAAATGAGAGTAATATACCATCTTTATATGTAATGCAAAAGCTATCAATTGTAAATAAAAAATCTTTATAACTCCTTTAAAAGGGTAAAGAGACAGTAATTGCACATAATATACGGTACCGCCAAATTCACAAATATAGAAACAATTTAGCATAAATATCCAGGTACACATGGTGGTTCTTCGTCGACACCTACTTCTTTGTAAAAGCCCGCCTCTCCCCTCTCCTTTACCAAAAGAACATTAAATGAAGCTATATCTTTCTGTACATCATTTGCAGCATAACTCGTAGCAATTTCCTCCGAAAAAATGAGAAACCATGAGAATTTACTCTTATATGTAAACCAAATGGCACCTCTCATAGATTTTTTGTCCATCTTGTATAAATTTTCTACCATAATGATATATCTTCTACCGCATAAATCAAGAAATTTAAAGATTGATTAATCACTTTGCTTATAGGTCATGCTATTATTTGTCACAATCAAATTCCCATCATAGGTCGTGATGGCGCCCAACAATACCGTTAGGCAAACCAACGATAAACCACCAACACAATCATCCGATCATAGTACTTTTAAAATCAAGAATTTCATTAATAAAATAAAATTAAGTTTAGAAATCATGGTAAATACTTCCATTACTACTAAGTCACGAAGTATGGACAAAAAATAAAGCGTGATGTTTTAAATACAAGGTACAACCATGAACAATTACTAAAAATTTCTAAAATCTAGTGTCACAAGTGCATGAGCATCTAGTAGAATATACAAAATCACTATAACTGCTGTCTGAAATAAAATAGACAGAAATAAATAAACATAGTAGGAAGGAGACTCCGGGTGTTGCGGGTCGACGCATGGGAAGCAGCTCACTGCTAAGTCCCCAGCTAAAGCCGCTATGCACCCGAGTGACCACTTGAAGTACCTATCTCAGTACCTACATAATTAGTGCACAAGTGTAGTATGAGTACGTAATTCAACGCGTACCCAATAATTATCTAGTCTAAACTCGAAGAAGTAGTGACGATGGATCGACATCGACATCGACACTTACTAGTGATCCAATAATAATGTACATAAAATAGACATGTATGAAACACAACAAGTTGCAACAAAACATGTAAATATAAATAATATAATTCTCAAGTAAGAATAATTATGAAATCATCAAATACCATAAATTGCCTCGAAGGAGCAAGGATAACCAATATCAAATACAAAGTCAAATCTCAAGTTAGGAAAAATCATATGTACTCTGACTCCCTGTCGAATATTACGCACGAGTCTGTCAAGATGAATGACCCGATCCAATAAAAATTGTAATACACAGTACTGCCGAGGCGAATGACCCGATCCCATAATGATATTTCATAACCCTGCCAAAGCGAACAACGTGATCCCATAATGATATTTCATAACACTACTGAAGTGAATGGCCCGATCCCATAGGACTAGAGAAACTTTCCCATCCGCGAAGATACGTGCGTGTCAAGAAGACACGGAACTCTAGATCACATAAACACAACACGAGGATATAGGAATGCAAAAGAAAATATAATTGCTACCAACCATCAAATATCCCGCAAAAATTCAAAGTAAGGAGGCTCGGTCAATACAAAAATTCTAGTCATGGTGTAGATCTAAATCTACTCGGACATAAATATAAATCTAGCTTACGCATGGACACTTGTCACCTCGTATGTACGTAGCACCCATAACCCGTAGCATACAATAAATAAGATACCTATGTGGATATTTTTCTTTTACAAGATTAGGTAAGAGATTTACCTTGCTTCCAATTCTACTACTCGGCTTCCACACCTCACTAATCACCTCAAATCGACACCGAACAACTCAAAACTAGTCAAAGGACATACAAACCAATGAATATATGCTCAAAAACTCATAATTCAACTATTAGAGTCAATTTCTAATCCCACTTAGAAAGTCAACAAAAGTCAACTACGACCCATATGCCCGGATTTCGAAAATTTTCGAAGATAAATATTACCCATGATATTACGAACTCAAATATATATCTTATACCCAATTCCATAATTAATTTTGTGGTCAAATTATATTTTTACTATATTCTAGGTTTTTCAACAAAATCCCAAAATTTTGCTAATTTCTATATTTAAATCCATCCCTATTATGTATATTTAACTCACAATAGGTATTAATTACTTACCTTTTGATACTTGATGAAAATGCCCTTTCAAAAAAATCCCAAATCACTCAAGCCAAGAGAAAATCGAGTGAAATGAGCCTATGTCCCGTATTAAAAATCGTATTATGCCCAGGCATTCTTCATCATGATCGTGAAAGAAGCCTCGCGATCGCGAAGGCCAAATTGCCATGCCTAGGTCTGCCTTAATCACGTTTGTAATGGCCCACTTGCGTTTGTAAAGAGAACTGGCCTCCCAACCCTCCGCGTTCGCGATCCTCTCTGCCGCGGTCCTCTCTGCCGCGTTCCTGAAGGTCCAGCCAGCCTTCCCACTCCCCTCTATTTCTTCTTCACATTCGCTAAGGCAGCTTCGCATGCACGAAGGGGATCCATTTCCTCCATCGTGTTCGCGCGAATTTCTTCGTGTTTATGAAGAACAAACCAATGCCCCTCCAAAATCCTTCTTCGCGATCGTAGAACACCCTTCGCGATCGCGAAGCACACCAACACCAGCAAAATTTTCCAACTTCTACATTGCTCCGGGTGGTCTGAAACTCACCCGAACCACCGGGACCCCGTCCAATTATACCATCAACTCCATAAATATAATTCAGACCTACTCAAAGTCTCAGAACAGATAAAATAATATTGAATTTAATAATCGCACCTCAAAACCAAATTAATCAATTTCTAAACTTCAAACTTCTTCCAACTAACCGTGAACACGACGAATCATACTTAGACAACTCGGAATGACACCAAATTTCATACACAAGTCTAATATGAAAATATGAACCTACTTCCAGGCGCTGAATTCCAAAGAGGATCCGATAATACCAAAGTCTACTTCAAGTCAAACTTAAAAAATTCTAAAACCTTTAAAATGCCAACTTCCAACAACAAGCACCGAAATGCTCCTAGTCCACTAGAAACTCGATCCAAACATACGGCCAAGTCCAAAATCACCATACGAACCTGTTAGAAAATTCAAATACCGATTTTGAGGTCATTTAATTAAAGTGTTGACTTAATTCAAACTTGGACACCTTAGGCGACTATTATGGAACTAAGTATTCTAAATTCAACCCGAACCCTTTCAAAACCAAACCAACCGCCTCCACAAGTCATAAACAGGAAAAGCACATATGGGAAGTCTTAAATAGAGGAATGGGGATCTACAAAGCAAAATGATTGGTCTGGTCATTACATTCTCCACCTTTTGAATAAACATTTGTCCTCGATCGGGTTTAGAATCATACCTGAAGTGCCGAATATGTGTGGATATCTACTCCACATGTCCTTCTAGGTCTCCCATGTCGCTTCCTCAACTGATTGACCCCTCCATTGAACCTTCACCACTGCAATCTTCTTGGACCTCAATTTGCGAACCTGCCTATCAACAATGGCAACTGGCTCCTCCTCGTAACTCAATGTAACGAGCCGACCGGTCGTTTTGAGATTTAGTATTCCATTCAGTGGTTCGAGGTCTTGAGTGGCTTCATATTGTGTGTTATGACATACGTGCATAGTCGGATTCAATTTTTGGAAGTTTCGGGATTGATTTGGATAAGTGATTCTCATTTTAGGAGCTTCAATTGGAAATGTTGACCAAAATTTGACTTTTATGGAAATGACACCGGAATGGTATTTTGATGACTCCGGTAGATTTGTATCGTGATTTTGGACTTGGCGTTTTTCCGTAATCGAATTCGGAGGTCCCTAAGATTATTTGGCTTGTTTTGTCGAAAGTTGGCAATTTAAAGGTTTAGAATTTTGTTAAGTTTGACCGTAGGTTGACTTTATAGATATCTTGATTGGATTTCTGTTTAGGGACTTGGAATAGGTTCGTTTTGTTATTTGGAACTTGTTTGTAAAGTTTGGCGTCATTTTGAGTTGATTTGATAGGAATCGGACGCACGATTGTGTTTTTAGAAGTTCTTGAGTTTCATGTAAATTTCATGTGTTTTGGAGGTTCGATTCACGGGTTCAGATGTTATTTTGATGGTTTAATCGCGTGAGTGAGTTTATATTATGTTTTCAGACTTGTGTCGATGCTTGGACGCGTTTTCGGAGTGTTTGGAAGAATTCTAGCTTTGCTGGTTTTTGCATAGATGTCTCAGGTCTCGCAAATGCGAGAATATGTTCGCATTTGTGATACCGCATTTACGAGGTGGGATATCGCATTTGCGATATAAGCTAGAGTCTGTCAGGTTCGAATTTGCAAAAAATATGTTCGCTTTTGCGATGGGGCTTGGGCTAGGCTGAGTCGCATTTGCGGTCATTTTGATCGCTTTTGCAATATGTTCCTTGTTTGTATTTGTGAACTCTTTGTCGCATTTATGACGTCAGCAGGACTGTGATGGTGTCGCTTTTGCGATCATTCTCCGCATTTGTGAACCCAGGTCGCATTTGCGACACCTGCAACTTAACATAAAAGGTGGGAGTCAGGATTTTAGCCTCATTTCTCATATCTTTGAACCCTAGACTTGGTAGGAGGCGATTTTGAGGAGTTAGTTTCATGTACAATCATTGGGTAAGTGATTTTGACCAATTTCAAACTATTTTACATGATTATATATTAGTTTTAACATTATAATTATGAGAATCAAAGAGGAATTTCGGGAAATTTTGCCTATGTTTTGAAAAATGAAATTTTGGGGTTTGAGAGTCGAATT